TTTATTTCTGGGGCTCTCTATTCTGTTCCATTGATCCATATGTCTGTTTTCATACCAATACCATGCTGTTTTGATGACTGTAGCTCTGTAGTACTGCCTGAAGTCTGGGAGGGTTATTCCTCCAGCTTCATTCTTTTTCTTCAGTATTGCTTTGGCAATACCTGGTCTTTTATGATTCCATATAAATTTTAGGGTTATTTGTTCTAGTTTTGTGAAAAATGTCATGGGTAATTTGATAGGGATCACATTAAATCTGTGGATTGCCTTGGATAGTAGGGCCATTTTAACAGTAGTGATTCTTCCAATTGAAGATCATGGGATATCTTTCCATTTCTTTAAGTCATCTTTCATTTCCATAATCCATGTTTTGTAGATCTCCATGTATAACTCTTTCATCTGCTTGGTCAGATATATTCCTCAGTATTTTATTGTTTTGGATGCGATTTTAAAAGGGATTATTTCTTTACTTTCTTTTCTTGTTAATTCATTGTTAGTGTAAAGAAATGGAACTGATTTTTTGTGTGTTAATCTTGTATCCTGCTACCTTGCTGAAGTCTTTTATCAGCTCTAGTAGTTTTTGTGTGGAGCTTTTAGGGTTTTCTATATATAGTATCATGTCATCTGCATACAACAACAATTTTACCTCTTCTCTTCCAATTTGGATCTCTTTTATCTCTTTTTCTTGCTTGATTGTTGTGGCTAGGACTTCCAAGACTATGTTGAATAGAGGTGGTGAGAGTGGACATCCTTGTTTTGTTCCAGATTTTAGTGGGAAGGCTTTCAGTTTTTCAACATTGAGTATTATGCTGGCTGTAGGTTTGTCATAAATCAAACAGAATTCTAACAGTTGGTATTCTTTAGTGTTGCTGACAATTACTAATGAGACTTCTAGCTTGCTTTTATTGGTACTACTAATGTTACTACATTTATTTTTTCTTTCCAAGATGTAACTTTTGCCAAATTGATCTAAATGATAAGATTATTCTGATAATCTTGCACAGTAGGGGCTTCTTGGAGAATGAGTGTGACCATTTTTTAATAACAGAGAAAATAATCTTAAATTTAGCAAGGTTGGGTGGGGTGATAGTTGAGTAGGGTGGAAGACAAGTTCAGTGGGAGGAAATGAACTTTGCCAAGGCCTTGAGCCAATCAGTAGAAGTCCTTTGGGTCTTCTGATGAAACACAGAAGCAACGTGCAGAAACGATGACTCAGCCCTCTGGCCAAGTGAGCTGTGGACCACTGCACAGGCTCTGAGTGTCCCATCTCCCAGCAGGTACTCTGCAGACTACAGAGCTTGTGTTCATGAAATACCTTCTGGAAATCTAGCAGGTAGAAAGTAACACAGAAGAAGAGACTAGGACTTGGAAATTAGGACAGACGCTCCATCCCTTCCATACCTTCCCAAGGTTGTGCAGGGAGGATAATGGATGAAAATAAGGAGGAAGGGGTTTTTAAAAATGTTCCCTTAAAACCGAGGCTGAAACAAGCATGGGTCACTCCCTCAAACCACAGAGAATGTAATGAGAAATTCCCTACCACCAATGAACTACAGATCTGCCTACAACATCTCATTTATCTAGGTGCCTTTTCCAAATTTTAGTAGTTTTAGTGGGGATGGAGGGAGTGGTAACCACCAGGAAAGTTGACGTGGTGTGTTGGGTTGATGGGCCCCTGGTTGCCAGCCAAGCTCAGACATGAGGAAAGGCACAGTATTGTCAAGGCAGCAGGACTGAGAGGAAGGAGGACCAGATTCAGTGTTGGGAGACCCAAGTTCTACTCAAAATCCAGCTCAAATGGTGCCACCTGGGAAAGTCATGCTCAGTACTCCAGAACAGTTAGTGTCCCCCTGACCTTATAAGGACCTATGATGGTAGTGACTTAGTTGATGACCTGTCATTCTTTCCCAGTAGACAGCAGGTCAGCTTGAGGACAGAGATTCTTTTCTTACTCATTCCTGTATCCTCTTTGGAGAGAAGTATCAGTTGGCTTTCACTGCATAAAAACTTCCACATCTTATACCTTAAAACTAAACACATTTATTATTTCTCATAATTCTGTGAATCATCTGAGCAATACCTATGGGCTGGGCCAGCTTGACTAGGGCTGTATATAGTCTAGGATACTTCACTTACGTGTCAGAAGTCAGCAGCCTGGTTGTTCTGGGAGATGGGGCTCACCTGGGATGATTCATTTCTGCTCCACATGGTCTCTCATTCTCCAGGTAGGCTAGCCCTGGCTTCTTCACCTGGTGCTCCTGGCTCCACAGAGCATCGAGATGAAGGTCCCGATGCACAAGCCACCACCAAACATCTGTTTACGTCACATTTATTAATGTCCCATTGGCCAAAGCAAGTTACAAGGCCAAGAAAAGATTCAAAGGGTAGAGATATAGATTTCACCTCTTGACAGGAGAAGCTGCAAAGATACACTGTCAAGAGGAATCTGTGGCTATTTTTATAATCTACTATAAGAGCTTTGAACTGTGCTTGGCATAGTGTAGGTAATCAAGAATGCTTGTTGACTGGTGTGAGATGATACCTCATTGTGGTTTTAATCTGCATTTCTCTAATAATAGCTATATTGAGCATCTTTTGCATCTTTTCATGTGCCTTTTGGCCTTTACTGTACTCCTGAAACTAACATAACATTGTAAATCAACTATACTTCAATTTAAAAAAAGAATTAAGAGGTAAATAATGTTAAATAATGTCATTGTCCATCCCCTCCTGCCTGCCATTGTTACATCCACTTCCATGATGCCTGTCCTTTGTTGAGGTCTTTAAACTGGGCCAAACTTTATCTAGTAGTTTAGAAGGTTTATTGCCCCAGACTTAAATATGATGGCTCCTTTTTGTCTGAGATTTGCAGCTTACATTGGACCTCTGGCAATGGAGCTCCTCTGACAATGGAGCTGTGACAACTTGCTGGATTATGGATATGTCCCCACTCCTCATCTTTGCTCTTTAAACAGATCTGGAAAAGAGGAAACCCTTTGTCTGTCAAATCATGATCAGCCTTAGCTGGCTGCACCTCCTTCTGTCAGCTGCTGCTTCTTGGATACCCCCTGGTAGCTTCCTCTTGCATAACCCCCTCAAGGTATGAAATTCATCATGTGAATTGCCAAAAAGTTGGATGGAAATAAGAGATTTCCATGGGAGAGCTCTCAATGTAGTGGAAAGCTAGAGGTGGAAGAAAAGAAAAAAGGTAAAAAATTACCATCTAGACTTTGTAGCTGGTGAGTCTGTGCTTGTTTCACTGTGGCTTAGCCCAGAGAAAGGTAAAACAGCAAAACACATATAAATGCATATAAAAGAGGTTTATATCATTAAAAGTCAGGTGCTGGTGGGTAAGAAGCAGTGCCATTTTCACTAAGTAAAAGTGGTGGAGTTGGGAAAGGTGAGAAGGTGTTCTGACTGGATCAGCTCGTCCAGGGCCTGGTAAGTACCCATCACAAAGCCCACGAAGCCCAGGATGCTGATCAGGGCGTCCTTGATGATGGTGAGGGGGCTCATACCCTCTGAGTAGTAGGTGACGATCTCCAGGAGGGGTGGGATGATGAGGGCCAGGGCACTGCTGCTCACGGAGCCCACCAGGGAGAGAACCAGGTCCAGGCGGGGGACAAGGATGGCCAAGATGCCTGCAGGAGATGATACAGGATAGATGGATCTTTCCAGGCTTAGCCAAAGTTTTAAAGTTTGTTTTAAAAATCCTTTTCTTAAAACATAAACCAGATGTTTCTCATATATTCAGTTACATAAAGAAAAAGTCAAAACTCCTGTAACACCCTCAATCACATTCACTGGAGGTTGTGCATTAAAATTTTGTTGCGTCTCCTTTCAATCATTTTTCAAATAATTATTTTTCAAATATATACACTCATATTGTTGGGAGGAAAAACTTTCTCTCCACTCATTTAGGTTCAGTGATCTGGGGGCCTGAGAATTTGACAATAGAAGATTAACAAGAAGAAAGACAACGTTTATTTAGAGCTAGGAGCCTTCCAAGAATTGGGTCCCCAAACAAAGATAGGGGTTTATATACCCATTTCATAAGGGGAACTGGATCAGGGAGAAATAGATTCCATGAAAAAACAAGTGAAAGGTATGACATTCTCTGATAGTTTATTTAAGTAAGTACTCAGTCTGTGATGATGGTTAGTCTCCTTTCTGGCTGAAAACCTCCCAGAAAGGGGATTTATGGTGCCTGTATTTTTCAGAAGTTCTTGCTGAATTCAGCAAAGGAAGTTTAGATTAAGCTTTTTCCTCTGCTATGGCTACTAGCTCTAATGTTTTTAGCTTAAAATAATTTTTATGCCAGAGAGGTGCATTTCAAATCTCTACATGTTCAATGATTAAGCTATTACTTAATAAATAACACTAAATAACAGTGCTGGGAACTGTCCCAGCTGTTTGGAAATATCAATGTCCAAAACAGACAAAAAAACTCTGCTGCCTTTGTGGAGCTAATATTTTAATAATTAACATGAATACAAACACCTCTTTCCTGCAAACAATTAGAATGTGAAATTATTTATAGGAGAGAGGGGTCTTCAGTTGGAATAAGATCAGAGTCTCTTTAAAGGAGTATCTTCTCCAGGTTTTACATACATGTCAGAAAACATCTAACAAAGAAACACTAAAACCCAAAGATTTTGAAATTATATACATATACATATATTTTTTTAGTAGGATGTTTTATAGGCCTGGGCTTTTACATTTAAAAAAAATTAATTTATTGCTTCAAAGGTTCCTAGACCCAACAGGTAATATATATCTATACTTTTAAAAAAATTTATTTTATTGAGTTATAGTCAGTTTACTATGTTGTGTCAATTTCCAGTGTAGAGCACAATTTTTCAGTTATACATGAACATACATATACTAATTGTCACATTCTTTTTCACCGTGAGCTACCACAAGATCTTGTATACGTTTCCTTGTGCTATACAGCACAATCTTGTTTATCTATTCTATATATACCTGTCAGTATCTACAAATTTCAAACTCCCCGTTTGTCCCTTCCCACTTTCCTCTTCGCTGGCAACCACAAGTTTGTATTCTATGTCTATGAGTCTGTTTCTGTTTTGTATTTATGTTCATTTGTCTTTACATTTTTAATTTTACTCATTGGACAACCTTCCTGGTTATCAAGAAAGCCCAGAAGCCTCCCCTAAGTCTCCTGTGATAGAGTGTGGTATAACAGAAGAAAGTAGAGCTGGAAGGCAGGATTCTGGCCTCTCTTTGCGTGGTCTTGTTAAGTCTCCAAACCTTTCTCAGTTTGTTTCCTAATCTGTCAAATGGGGACAGTATTGATCTTTTTAGGTATCATGGTTCATACTACAAATGGTGTTAATTTTACATGAGTTAATTCATGTAAAGCACTTAGAAAAGTTATCTTTATTATTGCTTCAGTTTATTTACTCATATGTACTGGCTGGGGCAATGCATGCAAAAGGAATGCATGCCTAAGGAATTGTTATCTTCTTATTTGGGGAAAATTAATTGATCCTTCTGGAGTCTCTAGTATTCTGCTTCCTAGGGCAAATTGGGAACGAATGACTTCAAAGGAAGAAAATCAGTGTCCCATGACTTATATGGGCTGGTTTAGCAGAGCAAGAATCACATTTAAAGGAACTTTAGGCACAATTAGACCATGCCACGCACAATGCAGGAATCTCTATCATCTTTGCCCCTGCTAAAATACTAGCAGAAAGAGGTACCCTGGCTCATAGGGCCTGGAGCACAGGGAGGGCTGCTGAGGGGATGAGTGGAGCCAGCCGATGCCAGCAGATGAACACGGGCCCATTGTGGGGCAAGGAGCTCCACTTGACTGCTGCCAATGGAGAACTGCCAAATCATTTTATTTTTCTTCCAAAACATTAGAAATTTGCATTTGTATCTGAGCTCTCCCACGTTTTTAATGTTGGCCCAAATTTATACAATGCTGTGAGGGTGAAACAATATACCTCTGCTGCCAAACTAGACTCACTAGCTGCCATTTTCAATCTCTGTCCTGGAGGTGAAGGGTCTGGACTTAGATGACTTGGGTTCAAATTCCATCTCTGGCACTTTCTTCCCAATTGCTTGTCACTCCCTGCTTCAGTTTTCTCATTTATAAAGTAGGGTTTATCATGGTACTACCTCATAAGAGCTCCTGCAAGGACTGAATAAAATACTATGAAATATGGGGGTGGGGAGGGTATAGCTCAGTGGTAGAGCACGTGCTTAGCATGCATGAGGTCCTGGGTTTGATCCCCTGTACCTCCATTAAATAAATAAATAAGCCTAATTACTGCCCTCCCCCCAAAACAAAAAATTACTATGAAATATGGAATAGAAAGAGTTTAGCACAGTGACTGGCACACAGTAAGTGTTAACAAAAAAGTCAGTTATTATGATTATTATTTGATAAGCTGTCACTCCCTCAAGCTGGACACCAGTAAATCTGTCTAATTAGGAACATGTAAAAATTAGGTTGTTCCTGAAGCTTAAATGAGTTACAACTTGTAAGGCCTTAGGACAGTCCCTAAAATGCAGTTGGTACTCATTCAATGCTGGTTCATCTACCATATTTCGGATTCCTGACAGCCCTCAGGAAAAGAGCAACATGGTGCTCTGCCTTCTACTCACACGTCAGGCAGGCCATGACAAGGCGGATGGACAAGTCCAGAGGCAGTGCCCAGCGCTGTGACACCTTGGAGATGGCAAAGGGAATAATGATTTCTGCAGGGACGTAGAACTGCAGGGAATAGGTGCACAGGATGCCAATGATGTAGAGGAGCTTGACCGACTGGTACAGCCTGCAGGACAAACCAGAGCAATACTCTCTTAAGGCCAATGTGCTCTGACACCTGCCCTTCTTGGACATTAAACTCTGACCTTGGAACAGTCCCTTGGGTCAATGTTTCCTTGTCTAAAAATGATGGGGAGGGACCTTCTAAGAGCCAAGAGGGAGTCACAGCAGAGCATGCAGTGGAAATAGAGTGAAGTACCATAGATTCAAATGGAACAGTTGAGAGGGTCATCTCTAAAAAAAAACTCAGGCATGGAGATATGAATCAATCTATCTATATCTATATCCATTATCTATCTATCTATCTATCTATCTATCTATCTATCTATCTATCTATCTACCTATCTCAATATATCACCTTTACAAATCATTATCACCTGATGCTGAATTTTAGATTTTAGGAAAGAGAGGCTCAGGCCAGGTATCTTGCTCAGGGAGGGACAAGTGGTAAGTGGTGAAAACCAAAAAACCTGGGTGTAAAAGATCTCGTCCCTTGAGATCTCTGTCTGTCCTTAGGAATTCTCTGGATCCCCCAAAGCTCTTGGCACATTGCAGGCCTTCAACAAATGCTTCTAGTAGGTTGAAAGAACGCAGAATCCTGAATCCTTGGGGGAAGAGGTGGTCCACAAATAGGGTTGTGTGGGGAATGGGGGTAAAAGGAAAGACAGGGTTATTTGCAGGCCTCAGATTACGGGCAGAGAGAGCATCTGACGGGGGATGTTGAGTTTTATCTATACTGTTTTGACTTATGGAGATACGGCTTTTTTCCTTTAGCCCACTAATGTGGTAGATGTACCTGCCATGTTTAATAAACCTGTATGTCTGTGTCTGTGTGTATATTTAGCCTGTATCTTAAAAAGACTAACATCCACATTTCTGTGTTTCTTGCTCACACTAGTTCTGAGGCCTGGAACACCCTCTCTACTCCATTTCCATCTGTGCAAACCCCACCTGTTTTTTGAAATTCCCATCTTTTGATCAAGTACTACATGCCAGATGCTTTTAGACATACTCAGCTTAATCCATATGATAACTCTTCTTTATAGATGAGGAAGCCAAGGGTCAGATTGGTTAAGTAAATCACCCATGACCACGAGCTAAGAGTTGGTACAACTGAGACCTGGATCCAGAGGAGCTATAGTTGTTCTGGTTTGGGTAGAGTTGTTTTGCTGGACAAGAAGATTCCCTGTTGCCCCATTCTGATGAACTTTCTGTCCTTGGAAGTCCCCAAGGTCTCTCTGCTATGCTGGAAGGTTTCCTTTTCTGTTCTGTATCACACTTGTGTACATACACTATCCCTTCCCCATTTCCATTGGATCATGAGCTGAGGAAGTTAGTGAAGCTCAAAATCACAGTCTACTCACATCAGCATCCTCCACACCCCATGTATCTAGACTAGCAGCTGCATGTAACTGGGATGCAGTACGTGTTTGATGAATGACATTGATCAGTTTGGGGGAGCCCTATTTAGATAAATTAAGCCTCCAAGTGACCCTTAAAAAGACAGGCATCTTGTATTTAATGACATACCTCAGTATGTAAGAAAGTGCTGCACAATGTGATATGAGTTTGTGTGTCTTTAAAAATGGCACTGTTGAAGTCTGGGTCAGCAAAGTGCTGCATGAATTCAGTCATTTGAACATAAAAATTTTACAGATTCTAATGGTCTTCCCCAATTGGTTCTTGTTTTACTACTTTTTCATCCTAGCTACTCTGCAAGACTTGGTAACAGCCTTAGTAAATGTAACGGGAGCCACCCACCGGCTCCTCTCTCTTGTCTCTTGCCCTCTTTCCATGCCCCTTCTCTCCTTAGATGACCAAGGACTCATTTCTCCCCTCTCTTCCTAAATTAGGTCCTTCCTCACGCTCAGCTATCAAGGCCTCTCTCAACATGGGAGGCTGTTGTTGAAGGAGCTCCATGGACAGAGAATCCAGAGCCCAGGTTTCCAGTGACAGCTCTGCTGCTCCCTGTGGACCTCAGTTTGCCAGCTGTGGAGGGGAGGGGAAAGTGACCTACGTGTTCCCATTTCTACCAGCCCAGAGTCTCCACTGCCTGAGGGCCCATGGAGTTACCAGCAGTTGGGCAGGTTAAGGGTTATGCTAGCCTTGATGTCATTTCTGAACCGCAGGTAGCCTAGAGTCCCGATGCTGATGTACAAGGCAGTAATGATGGACATCCCCAAAGACAGGATGACTGGGAAGCGGCGGGCATCCTTCATCTTGTTTTCCAGGGGCAGAACCTGCAGAAATATCACTATGTAAGAAAAGAGGAGACTGAGAAATAGGAGCATAAAGAAGAAAGGCATGCCACCTCTGGGTATATTCACAAAAGGATCGGAAGCAGACATTTGCATAGGTATTTGTACACTTATGTTCATAGCAGCATTATTCACAGTAGCCAAAAGTTGGAAGCAATCCAAGGGTCCATTGATGGAGCAATGCATAAACAAAAAGTAGTTCATATATACAATGGAATATTATTCAGCCTTTAAAAAGAAGGAAATTCTGACACATGCCACAACATGGATGAATATTGAAGACATTAAGCTAAGTGAAATAAGCCAATCACAAAATGACAGATACTGTGTGATTCCACTTATATGAGGTCCCTGGAGTAGTCAAGTTCACAGAGTCAGAAAGTAGATTGGTAGTTTCTATGGGCTGGGGGAAAGGAGAAGTGGGGAGTTATTGTTTAATGGGTACACAGTTTCAGTTTTAAAAGATGAAAAAAGATGGATGGTGATGATGGTTGCATAACAATGTGAATGTACTTAGTGTCACTGAACTGTACACTTAGAAATGGTTAAGATGGTAAATTTTATGTTAGGTATATTTAAATCCTTTTTTTGTCCAATAAGCACCTCCCCTTCCTCTCCATGCAATTGGAAGACACTTGAGGGGAGTGCGTGTCAGGGTCGTGGCTGCGCATTTCCACTTTCTTCTGGGTTAGGTGTATGTTCCTAATTGTAGCAGGTGCTCAGGAAAGTGTCCAAGGGATTAAGTGGGGAGCAGACAATCCAACCTGAGCTTTTCTACCCTGCCTTACATTTTTGCTGCATAAATTCTCCAAGCTAAAAACGATCTTTTCACAAGGCCATATCATAGTAAGTAGCTGACTTCCCCTGCCCCCAGTCAATCAAAGAGATAAATGGCCATTCACACAGAGTGGGAAGGTCTCGACTGGGGCCAGTTCCCAGCTGGTGACCCAGTTCAAGACCTCTTCCCTCCCTGGGGTTAGACTTCTTTTCTGTAAAACTGGAGACTGGGATAGAAGGTTTCTAAAGATAATCTGAACTGTAATACTAATAATCATTAGCAGATAGTAGATGTTCTACAAATACTTATTGAACATGTATTATCATCATTTTATAGTTGAAGAATTAGAGTTCAGAGATTAGCCTGTGGCTAAAGTAAGATTCTGGCACATTCTGCCTCCAAAGCCATCTGCTCAACCACTGTACTCTTCTTTTTGCCATGACTGTCCAAAATTCTAAATATAAAGTGCTTCTAGTTCTGTTCAGATGATGTAAGCACACTGCATCATATCTGCCACACTGATTAAAACTAAAAGCCCTGGACAGAAAACATAAAGCAACTATACATGGGCTCTGAAAAGTATATAATAGAAGGTGAATTGCTCAAAACTAGTAAAAATGGCCATTATGGTAGTGAATTTCTTGATTTTTTCTCTTCCCATGTCTCCCAGTTAGACTCAAAGGGAGCCCAAATTCTGGAACTATGTAGTGGATGCAGACAGGGAAAACTCAAAGAGAAACCTCTTTTCTGGTTAGAGGACCTAAAATAGGGGACCCTGTGGGACAGACAGCATGGAGAGAATCCCTATTATTTTTCTTCCTTTTTTTTTTTTTTAACTCTCCAGGCCATACCCCCAAGGCAAGTCTCAGTCCAAAGCAACAGTCTGCTGTATTAGTGACTGTGGTGGTTACACAGGCATCTAAAAATCTGAGGCAAACTCCTCTCAGAGCAGAGGAACAGGGAAAGGGGGCTTTGGGAATCCAGAGTGTGAGGGGAATCAGGACTGGCTACATAATTTGTGGGACCCAGTGCAAAATGACAATACAGAGCCTCTTGATCAAAGATCGGGAATTTCAAGATAATGAAAGCAGAGCATTAAACCAACTGTGGGATCCTTCTAAAGGCCCTAGATGGCCACACAGGTTGCAAGCCCAGGGAGCTGTCCTGGGTGGAATCCCTATTACTTTCTTCCCTTTTTTCTCTCAGTGCTTAACCCTAGAGTTAGGTCCAGTCACAAGAAGTGTGTAACAGGGCATGGAGGATAAAACTCTGGCTTTTTAGCCAGAAGACCAGAAAAAGAAACCACTGGGTGAGTGTGCAGGAAAACTTGGAAAGGAGAGAGCCAGATAAAGTGATTCCCTAAATCTATGGATGAAGTCCTGGGCTCAGCCCTGAGGTGCACATGAACTGATGTGAAGCACCAAAGCAAAGGCTTTGACAGCTAACCTATCGTGGAGACCACCATCTACATCCAAGACTGGTCCCTGGGTAGTACATTAGCAAGGTGGAGCCAAACACCACTTCAAAGTCATTTTGGTATTCATGAAAGGACAAACACACTGATTGATGAATCAGAAATAGGGAGCTCAGAGACTGACCCATACTTGTGTATCAACTAGCTTTTTACAAAGATGCAAAGGTAATTCAATGGAGAATAGGTAGTCTTTTCAACAAATAAGGCTGGAATAACTGGGCATTCTTAAAAAATTGAACTTTAACCTATGAACACTTTTACTAATTAACTCAGAATGGATCATAGATCTAAATGTACAATGAAAACAATAAAACATTTAGAAGAAAATATATGAGGAAAATCTTTGTGACTTTGGATTAGGCAAAGTGTTTTAGATAAAGCAGGATCCACAAATGAAAAATTTTCATATGTTGAACTTGATCAAAATTAAAGCTTTTTCTTTGTGAAAGACACTGTAAAGAGAAGGAAAAGGTAAGTTACAGACCAGAGAAAATATCTACAAATTACATATTTAATAAAGAGTTTGCTTTTGGAATGTATAAAGAATTTTTAAAACTCAGCAATAAAAGACAGTAACTCAGTTTTTTAAAAAGTTGCAAAAGATTTGAAAGACACTACACCAAAGATGATATACAGATGTCAAATAAGCTCATAAAGAGATGCTCAAAATCATTGGTCATTAGTAAAATGCTAATTAAATCACAAATACCACCACCCTTAGCAGAAGGCTAAAATTAAAAAAACCTGAAAATACATACAAGAACTAGCGAAGATGCAAAGCAACTCTAATGCTCATACATTAGGTGGGAATGCAAAATGGTACAGCCATTCTGGAAACTTGTTTGGCAATTTCTTATAAAGCTAAACACATTAACATGTGACCTAACAAACCTACTCCTAGAGAAATGAAAACATCTGTTCACACAAAACTCTGTACACAAATGCTTACAGCAGTATTACTCATAAACGTCAGAACCTAGAAACAGCCTAAACGTCCTTTAACAGGTGAATGGATAAACAAGTGGTGGTGTTGCCCATACAGTGGGTGCTCAGCAGTGGAAAGCGACTAGTTCCTGATGCATGCAGCCACGTGGACGATCTTACATGCAGCTAAGTGAAAGAAGCCAGGCTTAAAAAGTTACATACTGTATGATCCCATGTGGATGACGTTCTGGAAAAGATAAGACAATAGAGACAGAGAACAGAAGGTGGATGCCAGGGGTTAGTGGGAGATGGGGGGAAGTTGACTACAAAGTGGGCAGCACAAGGGAGCATTCTGTGGTGAGGGAATTGTTCTGCGTCCTGATTGTGGTGCACTGATGATTCTATGCATTTCTCAAAACTTACAGAAATGTGCACCAAAAAAATGAACTGTACTGTATACAAATTAAAAGTAAACTTTAAAATATAGAGGTATATAGAGGTAGACAGAGGTCAAGAGGTACAAACTTCCAGTTGCAAAATAAATGAGTCACAGCACAAAATAAATGAACAGTATGGGGAACATAGTAAAAACTACGTGATATCTTTGTATCATGACGTATCATAACTAGACTTACCCTGTGATCATTTTGAAATGTATAGAAATACTGAATCACTGTGTTGTGATTCACAGGAACTAACATAGTGCTGTAGGTGAATTATAAATATAATTAACAATGCTGTATTTTAAATGAAACTTCAGTAAATCTGAAGAGTTCTCATCACAAGGAAAAATATTTTTTTCTATTTCTTTAATTTTGTGTCTATATGAGATGATGCACGTTCACCAAACTTTTTGTGATAATCATTTCATGATGTAAGTCAAATCATTATGCTGTATACCTTAAACTTATACAATGCTATATGTCAATAACATTTCAATAAAACTGGAAGAAAAAGAGTATACACACAGCACCTATCCTTCCTCACGTGTGGAAGTAGAGACTATACAATTATCCATTGTAAATAGACTGTACTTTCCAGTGTAAAACTCCTTTGTTTCATCAAATCCTATAATTTAAATTGTATACCTCCATTTATCTTGATTTTAAAAAATTAGGAAACATATTTTGATATGAGGATAAATGTTTAATAAATGTATTGGTGCAAGAATGAAACTGTCTCCTGACTGCCTCTCTGTTGTGTGTAACCTACTTTTCTCCTGCTGGTGACAACTGGCCCAAGTGATGTCAGAGGTTATTTCTCCTGTGTGGTCACAGTAACTCAGAGCTCCCAGCTCCTGTTCAGAAGGCCACCCACAGCACCTGGGAAAGTCTACTCCAATTCAAACCTTACCACACCAATGCTTTCAAATGAAAAAATGGCTGTTCCAAAAAAGAGAGCGTAGGTCTTCCAATTTGCTACCAGTGGCAACTGGCTGGGGTCTGGAATTCCCTGTGGGGAGAGAAATGCAATAAGACCTTTACTCTCCAAGTATGTTTGCTCCTTTAAGGGGGGAGTATTCTGACAGTAAATCTGAATTTTAAATAATTGAATGTCAAGAAATTCAGAACATTTCAAAAGGAAGTAGGCAACAATCAAAGTTGATTTTAACACTACACAACACCAAAGAGCCAGAGGGAAGAAAGATCAAGGTATTGCCCAAGTACTGAAGGATCAGGATCTCATGGAGAGAGTTTGGTTCATCAGAATCCTCCAGAAGAAAATCTTACACACCACAGGTGAGTACCAGCCTAACATGCCCAAGAACACTTCAAATGTACCACTGGTTATGGGTGCTGGAAGTTACTGTGACTACAGTTACAGTGATATTCTAGGGCCCAAAGTAATTAGTGAAATATGAAAGGGCCCTTTCTTCAATGAGCTATAAATTGAAAGGAAAAAAGTGTGTTGAATAAATATTTTATGTACCCTGTGACCTAGTATGTAAAAATGGCAGAACCATTTCTCTAATTAAGTAATCTCTGGAATAGTCCAAAAGTAAATCAGAGGTAGCTATCTCATTAGAAAATTCAATTTTGCAGAATCCATCAATATTGCCGTAAGGAGTATAAGACTTATCTGTAGTTATCCTAAAATATTTGACTAATTTGTTATTTTTACTAAATTCCATGGACTCTATAACTTTTTCCCTCTGTGACTTCTCAAAGAGAAAAACATCTGAAAGGTTCTAGGTATGCCAAGGATCTTCAGGGTTTATGTTTCTATGTAGTCTTATCCATTATAAAATAAAAATTAGAAAGAATAGAAAAGTAGGAAATTGAGGGAAAATCAATATCCATAACTCAACTTGAAAGATGTAATTTATATCATGATAGATTTGCTTGTGGTCTTTCAAGACTCTATTTATACCTCTGTGACTAAATACTAGTTTTTTTTCCTCTTGAGTTCCTTAGGGGTAATTTTGAAATTACCTGGAATTGTAGCCTCTAGTTTGTTAAGACTAACTCAGCAAGATTTCACTGTGGTAGAAGATGCTGTTTTTCATCTGCCTTTTGCTGTTTTCCAACCATTACAGGAATGGTCTATAGTTCACCAATCAAGATGTTTCCCTTGCAAAGCATATTTTTTTTCTAAAACCAGGATTTGACAGGAAATGAGTATTGGAGAAGCAACACGAAAGAGGAGATATCTAGAACGTACAGAGACATCTTTGTGGAAGGAAGGCAACCATAAAATGGGTACTAGGCTGAAGAGTGAAGTGGACACCCACTGGCCCCAGATATCACTCTATTATATATATAAAAGCCTCTGCCCACTGGAGGAGTCAGGTGTGTGGTGTGCACTAACCTGGGTGATGTACTGGATGATGATGATTAAACTGACCAGCATGCTGATGTTGGCCAACAGGGAGAAGATGGTCAGGATCCTGAGGTTCCGAATAAGGGCCAGCAGCACCAGGAAGGGCAGGAAGGTGAGCATGTAGAGTCGTGAATCCATGGTGGGCATCAGGATCACTGTCATGTTGTCATGGCAGTTGCTGGTGGTGCCATTAACTGCTTCCACTACCTGAGGAAGGAATAGGGAAAAGCAAGGGGAAGAGTCAGTGAATCTTCTGGCTACCTGATTAGTTCAGTGCCTGGCCCAAAATCAAACTCAAAGAACTGGCATGTCTCACAATGAGTTAGGGTGACTTTAGGACTTCTTACTGTAAATCTTCTGCACCATTCTTTCTCAAAAGAGGACAGACATTTTTCTCTGTCATTTTGGAAGTTAGCCAATATTCTTTCACTAAACTTATTTTTCTATTTGAGTTCCACAGAGTCTGTTCCTTTTGCTTTTAACTGAAAAAGTCCACCGCTTACTATTTCTTAACTGCACCAAAACTGACCTTTTGAGTGACAGAACTCTTCTTGTGAGGACTGGACCATTCATTGCAGGACATTTAGCATTCCTGGATGCAACCTAATAGAAGCTATTAGCATCCTCTGGTCATCGAGACAAACAAGGAACACCCCACTGCACACTGTACAAACATCCGCTTGGCAAAAGTGAGTGTTGGGGGAATGGTACCATCCTCCTTTGGAATCAGCATGACTTAACTGATGCAGTCTCATTGTACAAGCAACACAATCTACTACAGAACAATTACAGAGTTAGGCAAGAAGAAAACGTTAAAGCAATGATAATCTCAATATCCATGGGTAGCCATGGTAATGCCTTGTGATATATTCATCTGTACATTTTCTGTGTATGCAATGCCACAAATTACATGCAATATACACATCCCTCTTTATTTTACAAAACTGCAATCATAGCATACACTTTTATTTTGAAATCTCCCTTTCACTTAACTACACACCTGGATACCTAAATGAATCATTAAGCTTTGTTTTTCTCTGATTCCTCCCTACAGTAGGGAAAACTACTTGGAACATTAGCCAGGCATTCAAGGCCCTCTATAAATAGGCCCATTCAACTGTGAAGGCTCTTCCTTTCCCAAGGCCCACACCTTCCACACCTTCTACAATCACTTGTATTGTCTCTACTGAGCAAGCCCCACACATTCTTGCCTCTAGGCATTCACTCCTTCCTTCTCCCACCTTGGCTGCCATCACTTCTCCTCTAACCTGCCCTTCAATGCCCAGCTCAGGTGCATCTCCTTAAGGGAGCCTTCTCTTGCTCCAATTATCTTTCCTGCTTCCACACATTTCTGCCCCTTAGTTCACAAATAAGCACCCCCAGCCTCAAGGTGTTAGAGGTGTCCTGACCCAGCACCAAAATATTATACTGATAGTTAACTTTTTATATGTTTTAGAGCACATCCCACTTAGTCCTCAGACTCCTTGAGACATGCTTACCTTGTCTCTAGACAGATGACTGATAAAATTCTGTCTATATCATTGATTTCCAAGCAGCAATCTGGCAGGTAAGAGCCTTTAAATCAAACCCTTGACCCAGTAATTTTACTTTAAAATATATACACACAAATATATTATAAGGAATAAAAGAATGTACAAAGACTTATGTAAATTATAGTAAAAAAGAACAAAGGGAAACAAAGAAAATATCCAATCATAGAACACTGAAGTCATCTGCATGATGGAAAATTATGAAATTATTAAAAACTACACTAAAAATGTAAGGACATTGAAAAATGATAATCAAAACAATAACCATGAGTGGTTGGATTAAAAATAATTTTGTTTTGTTTTGAGACGACATGTGACATAGTGTTTAAGAACTTAAGCTGTGATGATGAAAGGCCTGTGTTTTTAATCTTTGCTCTGTGATGTTATTAATATACATTATAGAGTTCACAACATCAGTTTTCTCATCTGCAAAATGAGAATAACCACAGTATCTACTCTGATATGGCCATGAAGAGAATTAAATGAGGGAAAGCTTATACAATGCTCAGTACTGTACCTGACGCTTAATAGAAGCTAACTCTGAATGCTTACTGTTTTTTTTCCTTCCTTCTAATTTCTTTTTTTTATATTTCCAATTTTCCGGTATTACTAAAAGCAAAACAAACAAACAAAAAAACCTCTATAGAATCTAAAGAATCAGTTTTTTTAAGCTTATTGACTGACAAAGAATAGCTTCTGTTATTACCCATATTATTTTGCTCAAATTGCTACAAGATAACTATTGTGATAGGTCAAAAGAACTTCTTGGGGACAAAAACTGTTAAATCATAGAGATTAAGCACCTCAAGGTAGATAAAGATGACCCACAGGTTAGGTATCATCCAAAAAGGCCTATATCAGTTCGAGAAGAGTTAAAGATGATTAAGTTCCAAGGCAGGATGACAGACAAAATCCAGGGTTTCCTCCAGCTCAATTTTAAAAACCAATCTTGAGGACAGGTCCAGTTTTAGAGACAAAACTTGGACAAAGGGTGCTGCGGAAAAACTAACCATTTACGGAAATCTGCAGATGTGTGAACTGGGGGAAGCCTGGGTTCTTTGATAACATCTGGTTAACTTCTTTCTTTGTATGATGAGGACACTAGGGCCCAAAGAGAAGAAGCCATGTCCTTTTCCCTCCCTTATTCTCTAGAAGATTCTACCTGTTTTAAATTATCGGCCAGAAACACAATGTACACGCAGCAGAAGCCCAACTGGGTGACTATGAGAAAGAAGCTCACGATATGCCTGAAAGAAAGGAGAAAGAGAGAAAGAAAACTTGTTATAAAAAGAGTAGGCTTGTCATTTCCATTTCTGTTCCTAGGGGTTGGTGACCCTCTACCAGCACCCTTAGTCCTGCCACCACAGTCAACAATGGAGCAGTAAGAAGGGAGGTAACAATAGTTCTTTAAAAACACATGTTTCTCAACCACCCTCACACTCTCAGCTCAGCAAGTGGTAAAATTCTTCATCGTCAGGAATCTTGCCCCATACCTGGCTCCGTGTTGAATACTAATTGATGTAAGGCAATAGGCCCAATGTTTTTTATTAGCTATAATTAACATTAAAAATTTTTTCCTATCATGTGCCAGACACCATACTAGGCACTGAGGACACACAGACAAGTAACACTGTCTTTCCTCTAGTGGTTTAGAGACTAGTGGATGAGATGGATAAAAAATAATGTGGCAATAAGGACCATGGTAAAGGGGCATTTTACCTGAATTATAGAGCAGACAGCCTTCTTAGAAAAACCCATACTGGGGCAGAAGTCCCTCAGGAATATGAAGAGAGAGAGAGAGAGAGAGAGAGAAGAGGAATAAAGGGGAGGAGGAGACGGCGAGGAAGTGGTGAGGAAAGAACATTTCAGCAGATGGATTAGGCAGATTTTTCTAGCTGCCATGTGAAGAATCCACTGTAGGGGGCAAGACGGAGGATGGGAAGACTGGATAGGAGATTCTTACAATAATGGAGGTGAAAGATGGCAGCCACCCGGACAAAGACATGGCCATTAGAATGAGAGAAATAAAAGTATTTTAAGAGATGCTAGGGAGCTAGAGCTTACAGAACCTGGTGACCACGTACGTCAAGGGGAAGGGGAAAGGAAATGACCTAAAGTGATTGACAGGTTTTTGGCTTGGACAACAAAATGAACTGGGAAATCAGAGGGAAGAACAGGTTTTAGGGGAAGGGAAAGAAATGACACATTCAGTACCTGAATTGTTGAGCTTGAGGTTCCTACAGGGGACATTCAGGAGACAACCATATATTAATGCTCTGGAACTGCTGATTTGTTAGTAATAGATAAAGCCTTGAAAAGGCAGATCAGTGTTGGAAAGTATGCAGAGTGAGAAGGTTTCAAATCCTAGAGAATGGCAACACTTACAGGGAGGATAGAAACAAAGAAGACTTCAAAGTAATAGCCAGAGAGGTAAAAGGGAAACTAGGGTGAAAAAGGATTTAACAGAAGCCAAGTGAAGAGCTAATGTCTGAAGAAAAGAATAGTCAGTCGTACCTACTGCTGCTGAGAGGTGCTCTAGGGTAAAGAAGGAGGTCTTTTAAGGTGCTGGTGGAAAGAACTTCAGTAGAAGTATAGGACAAGAAAGCCAGGTGACCCACGAAAGAGGTGTGAATGGCGTCTATGGAAGTAAAGTCAGAGGGTGGGCCATTCTTTCACGAAGCTAGAGTGTGAGCTCCAGTCTTGAAGGTGCCCATTTTGTTCATAGTTGTGAGCCCACTGCCTAAAGTACTTCCTGTCATGTAGGTATTCAGTAGGTATTTGTTGAATGACCAGATAATGAATATGAGATAGGATGGTAGCTAAAGGAAGGTATGAGGTCCAGGAAGGTTTATTAATTTATTTTATCATTTTTAAGATGGAGATACACGAACACATTTTAATGTTGAGAGGAAGAGCACACAGTTCAAAAAAGAACTTCAAGTCATAGAAGAGCAGATAATTAGCAAAGCAAAGTCTCTAAATAGAGCAGGAAAAATCCACTTTATATGCCCAACAATGAGTAGAAGGATTTGAGGGGTTGTGACAGACAAAAGCTTGGGTCACACAATTGGGAAAATACTGGTAATCATCCCATAGCCTCCCTAATCTGCTCATAGGTTGAATTTATTAGCTCAGTAAGTGAATGGGCTTTGGGTCAAGAGAGGTGCCAGACCCATGATGCTCATGGGCAGGGCACACCTCAGGTGGTGCAGTTCAGGGTATCACAGTTCAAGAAAGACTTTGATAATCTAGAGGTGCTCAGAAAGGAGTAGACAGACAGGGAGGGGACAGGTCTGAAAACAAAGACAAAAGAGTAGATTTAGTCCCAAGTTCTTCATCATCTCTGAAAGCGAAAAGGTGGGAGTTGCAGGAGGAAGACTTCAGCTCATCAAAGGGTGCTTAATGTCATGGTCTTTTTCTCTCTTTATTCTCACTATATACTCTCTCCCTAAAAGACCTCTTCTGTCCCCTGGCCTCATAGCTGACTTCAATTCTGTCCACTGCCTGAAGATACGCTCAAGCCTATACATATACAACTACCCATTTGACATCTCTACTTGAATATCCAAAACAGAAGTCATCAGAAATCTGAGTCAACCTTGACTCCTTTGTTCTCCCACAACCACAGGATCCAAATTATTATCAAATTCACTTTTCTCCATTGTCACTGCCACCAGCTTGGACCTAGCCATCATTACCACCTGCCTGGACCTTGTCAACAGCCTCCTCATGGGTCTGACTAAATCTATTCTTGCTTCCTTACAATCTATTCTCTTTACAGAAGCCAGACAGATCTTTAGACAATGCAACTATGACTAAAACAGGAAAGCCTCTGATTAAAAGCCTCCAATGGTTTCCTGGTTGCTTTTAAGACAAGAAAAAAACCTTGAAGAGAGTCTAAAATGTGCAGCTTGGCTGGGCCCCTGAATCTTTCTTCAGCATCATCTCCCTGACTATCTGCCCTCAAGTGACCTGGTCTTCCTGTCCCCTGAAACCGTCACATACTCCCTCCTGCTTCAGGACCTTCACATCTTGCTCTTCCTCCTGGAAGGCCCTTTAGGCTCCTGCATTCCCCTAGGTAATTCCTCATTCCTAAGACTGCCTTCCTTTGGAACTCACCTCAACTGTTCCACCCTAGGAAGCCTACCTGAACCCACGCACATCTCCTTACCTGTACGGCAGCAGCTAGTACTTCTTTCCTTCAAGGTACTTGTCCTAGTAGTTACTAAGTAACTGTGTTCTAAACTAATGTCCACCTTTCCCACTGGACTATGGGTCCTGTGATGGCAAAGCTTTGTTTGCTTTGTTCCCCACGGTATTTCTAGGGCCTAATTCTAATAAAGTGAATAATATTAAAGCTGCATAGCAAAGAAATACAAGGGGATTGCTGGGGATATACAAGGAGTGGGACCGGATAAGGAAGACTGCCAATGAACTCCTTCCATGTGAATTGCAATATTCTGTGTTACATAAGCCAAATTTCCAGGGAAGAGGGCATTCCTGACAGCCACATTTCTTCTCCACTTTGGGTCAAGCAAGAACAAGGTACCTTCCCCAATGTGCATGGTTCCGGAGCCAGGTGCTGGGGCTGGCTTCTAGTCCGTGCATCACTGTATCCCCATAGTCCATAAACGGTTTGTTAAGCCTGAAGGAGAGAGGACATACAGTTACCAAGAGGCAGTTTAATCTAAGGTCATATACTGAGAAGTCAGTAGGCACATAGCACAGCAGGACCTAGCTGGAGTGAGAAGAACATTGGGGCAGGGAAAAAAGTATTTTGACACCTGGTGGTATTTCCTTGGTGGCTTGTTTTTCTTGCCTATTAAGTAGGGCAGTTACTACATAACAAGGGTAATAATATATGCCTTGCGTGGGTACAGTAGTTTTCATATCCATGATCCCATTGGATCCTCACGACAATTCTCTGAGGCAGGGTTAGGCATGGATTGTTTATGCCCAATTTACAGATGAGCCAAGCAGATAGGCACAATGGCCTGATTGAGATCACCGAATGAGTCACATGGAGGAGTCTCACTTTAGGTCCCTGCCCTGAATGCTTTTCTCTTTTTCTTGGCCTTGTTGGAGGAAATTAAGAAGTAAACTCTTGTTTATATGGGGTATAATTCTGGGATGTCCCTGAGAACCAAGCACCAAAGGCACTGACATGAGAACACTGTTTTCCTCACCTGTGGCAGAAGTGCTGGGCACACCTGACCAGGATGTGCATACAATGGCAGGAGATGAGGCCCATGGCCAGCAAACTGAGCGGGCCCATCTAGAGGACGGGGATGCCAAGGGGCAAGGCAAGAGAGAAGAGAATGGATCTGTGAATAACATGGTAGGGAGGGATTTGGTAGTTCAGGTTTCATTCAAGACTCAAAGAACTATCTAGCAAACTGGTTTGCAAGGCATTTTTAGCGGTAACAGGTATACTTTGTTTTTTCTTTACTGAAGTATAGTTGATTTACAATGTTATATATTCTTTCAAATATGATCTCAAGTAGTACTCCAATAAAGTGTAAAAAGCAAGTACAATGACGTGTTATGGTGAGAGTAGAGGACTCAGACTTCTGATGTTTAGTGGCCTTTGAGGCATCCCTCAGCACTAGTGTTTTACAGAGCACAACTGGAAAACTAGTCATCCAACCCCTGCACTCCACAAGGGAGGAAACTGAGGCTCAGCCAGTGGACAAATGACTTGCTAAGGCCACTCAAAGTCCATGGCAGAGCCAGAACTCAAACCCAGACTAGATGTCTAGACTCCAGGTCTAGACCAAGCTGCCTTTCAGTAAGACTACTCAATGTAAGACATTATAAACTCTTAGAGGCTGTCCTCCCCCACCTGTGGCAGCCCCTCTTACCAGGATGCCTGCATTCTTCACAGCCAGGGGTAGTCCCAGGATCCCTGTGCCTATGTTACCTTTCACCAGGTGAACCAAGGTCTGGAATGCTCTAAAGGAGAAGAAAAAGACTTGAGGATGTGGGTTCATGGAGGTGAGGAGATCTGACAGGCAAAATCCCTCCTCGTATGCCAAAACCTGAGTTAAGCTGGATAGGTGGGCTCCTGGCCACTTCCCAGTCCCCATGGATTTCCTTGGCACTCGTGGTCTCCTGTAGGGTGACCAACCATCTCAGTTTGCCCAATACTGTCCTGGTTTTAGCAGCTGACACTAAACATATGCCATTAGAACACTAACTATGTAATAGACATTATGCTAAGGATTATATGTATTATCTCATGTAATCTTCTTGTCAAGACTAGAAAGTAGGTTATTGCCTTTATTTTTCAGATGAGAAAACTGAGGAATAGAGATTTTTAAAGTGACTTATCAAAGGATATACTGGGGAGCCAGAATTTGAACCTAGGACTGCGTCAGAGTCCCTGTTCCTCACCTCATTTCTACTGGACTGTCTCCTGGAAACGAGCCCGGACAGATGAGTAAAGGGACAGCCCCATTTCATAACTGAGGGAACTGAGGCTCAGAGAGGGGGCAGGGAATAGCCCAAGGTCATAGAACTAGTAGCAGATAAGGGACTGAACTCAGAGAAGAGGGGAAAGTGCAGGCAGCAAAAAGAAATCATTGTGACTTCTGAATGAAGAGGTCAAATAACTTAGGTCCCTAGATATGGTCTGTTGGGACAGGGTTATTCCAGGTTTGGTTTCCAGAGGAATTTTTCCTGCCAGGCCAGCACATCAAACTGGGGAATGGCATGTCTCCTACCTCCAAAAAAACAAAACCAAAAACTCAGACCCTTTTTTAAAGACTGATGTGAAGGTAATCCAGAAATAAGGTTTCAATCACCAAGGAGAAAGTTCTACGGAGGTATCCTCTCTAGTGGTGAAATAACAAAACAATCTATTTTTATACCTCTTTGTACCTGGACCAGGTTAAACCAAGGTGAGTATTACATCCACAACTTCAGAAATCTTGGAAATTTCCCATGAGAGACTTCCAGTGAGGAGACTTACTGTGAGGAGCAGCAGAGGTATTGTGGAAGGAGCCTGGTCCCTGGACAAACCAGGGACTAAGACTCAAGGCTACTACTTAACTAGCTGTGTTATCTTGGGCAACATGTCTGCTTTACTGAGCCTCTGTAAGTCTTAGGAGGAATGATGTTTTGAAAGAACTGCCCCAAACACCTGTATCTTTATGTTAATCCCTGAATCCTCGAGCTTCCTGAGGATCTGCCCATTGATTTGTTAAGGGTTAAAGAGAAAAATTGCCGGAGAAAGAGGGTGGAGAGTCTCTGCATGCCTTTCTCTCTCCCTGTGGGTGTCAACATCGCTGACGGAGCACTGCACACCACGGGCCTCCAATGATGGGCTTGTTTTGCAACTAGAACCAACGGGTCACTTTGAAATTTCTAACTAAAGGACTTAGGAAATGAGAATTCAACTTTGGGCCACTCAGCAAACTTAATAATACAATGAGCTGTGTAAAACACTGGGCTGGGAGGCAGTACACCTAGGTTCTAGCCCTAAGTCCTTTGGTGACTTTGGAATGTCACTGTAGTCACTGCAGTTAGCTTCTGGGGACTGAGCTTAGTGGCTTCACTAAGCACACTTCGCACACTTCGCCTTCGCAGCCATCCTGGGAGGAGCGAACTGTTATCTCACAGGGGAGAAATTAGAGTACCGAGAAGTTCCATCACTTGATCAGGCTGGTAAATAGCTAAAGTGGGAATTCAAACCCAGTACCCCATAAGTACCCATGACCCCATAAGTACCATGCTTACCCAACCTGTTTACTACCTCCCTCCAAGTCATAAGCAAGTTCTCACTTGCTTTATTTCTTTGATTCTTAAGTAGCTAAAACTGCCATCAAATCATGTTTTAGTTCAGGACATAAGAGCTAAGTGGTTCCTCCAAGACCCTGTGATTGAGAAATAAACTCAGCAGTGGATGCCCCAAGGCCTGGAGACCTCACTCTCAGGACTGCAATTTCTAAACAAGCCCCAGGACTAGCCCTTGGGCAACAGAAGCACATTATAGTGCCAGTCACTGTGTCCACCCCTGAATTGTCCTGCAGGGTGGCAATGGAGAGGGGTTTGCCTGCCTCTTATAGTAACTGCCCCTCCTTGCTGCACACTGGCCCCCCCTCCCGCACAACCTTTCAGATTTAACTTCCACAGGCAACCTCCTTAAATTCACACTGCCACCAATTTATCCCTGTTTTGCAAAACGGAGGCATAGAGAAGGAAGGAGCAGAATCACAATGGGGACGCAAGTTTTCTTTCTACTGTACCGATGGTGTCAACATTTTCTTCTTAAAGTGCAGAACTTTATCACTATGCCAACCACCCCAACTATTTTTCCTCAGTGAACTAGCCATGCTGCCTGAGTGGTAGAAGCAAAGGAGGCGGGAGCCCGGTAGCTTGGCTCTCTTGCAGAAACCCTCTGAGTACACCCCTCCTTGTTACGGTTAGAAAGCACTGTGAGGGATCCCCCACTTCCCCTCAAACACAGACTCTTCCACATACTGCGCTTTAGACATTGTCACTGCAGTTCTCAATTGAAGTAGAAGCCCAGGGAACTGCAGGAAAGAGGCAAGGAAGAGGAAATGCTTGGGTACCTGTGGTTTTAGCTCAAGTGTCACCTTCTCTTCCAAGAAGCCGGGGATTCTGCCCCCCCTCCCCAACATTATTAGAGTTAGCCAGGAACAAATCTGACTCCAGGGCTATACCTCAACTAAAAACAAACAGACTCTAGAGCCACCACTAGATTCCAGCCGCCATCCTGCCCAATGAGCCAGTGCATGTCCTTGGGTAATTTGTCTTAGGTTCACCACCTGCACGAGTTGGAGAGTGGATCACTATATCCTAAGGGCTTTCTGGTAGTCTTCCCTTCTGCCTCTTTAAGCTCTCAACTTGATTCAGCCTCTGACTGTATCTTTTGAGGCTCCTGCACGATGGCTTGTGGGCCAGACACACCCACCTTGGGGTTTTCGCCACTGCAAGCTTCCAGGCTGGAAGGCAGAAATGAGGATGGCAGAAAAAAGCACTCACGTTATGCCCTTCGTCGTTTCCAAGCCCGGCGACTCTGAAGGGCTCCCATCCAAGAAACCGGAGTCCTTGTTCTGCAGCTTCTCGGCACTTTGGGGAGGGGACTTGAGGTCCATTTTGAGGTCAACAGCTCCTGGGGGACCCTCAGCACTCTTTGTCTCGGGCATAACTGCTTCAGAAAGACAGGGCTCCTGGCTATGGTCAGGGGTCTGCACTGAGCAGGAAGGTGTCTAGTCAGGTGCAAACTCCAGCTCAGCGGCTTGTGCCTTAGCAGGCTCTGGCCAAGCTAGAATGAAGCCCCGCCCACCTCCCCCGGAGGGTGCTCCTCCTGCCTGAAGAAGCCCAGTGGAAGAGGATCACTCATCAGCAGGAGGAGAGGAAGGGAGGGTTTTGGGAAAGTAGTCATCCATGTTTACCTAATACAGTAATGGCAACAGCGACTACAACACTGATCATTTTAATAACTAATATTTATTAATCACTTCACTAAGGGATAGACACTCTTCCTAAGTGCTTTACCTTTATTTTCTCATTTAATCCTGTACATTAAATGATGAGGAAATCAGGCTCTGAACTAAATGGATCTGCCTAAGCTAGAAAGTGCCAGAGTAAGGACGATAGCCCAGTGCATCAGGCTTTTTAACCAATGCCCTATTTCTGCCTCTAAGAAACTATCTACACACCCCCACCTCCTTATTCAACCCAGGACAGGGGCTCCACTTCTCACTGGCTGTGTATTTGTTGTAAGGCATCCTCTGGGAGCTCCCCTTTCTTAAGCTGGAAAAAAAGGAGCACTTACTCACCTCTAACTGCTTCTTAGCTTCTGTGAGGCTCCAGGGAGAGAGGAATGGGGATTCTTTTGGGAAGGGGAGGAGAGGCAGAGATTGTACAACCCCTAGCCACACTTCACTGGGTAGGATGCTGGCATCAGGAGAGGCTGTGATCTGCCTAAGGTCACATGTGACAGTCAGGATAGAACTCTGCAGCTAAAGAAGGTTTTGGAGGTTTCTCTAGTGTTCCATTCTCTGTCATTATCTCTACTTCAGTGACAGATGAATGGGCCAAAATTTCCTCCTCCTTCAAAATTATAGCATTTTACTCAAGCCATACCACTCCCCGTACCATTATCCCATGTGCCATGAGCTTTACTTAAATGATCTCACAACTAACTGGTAGCAACTGAGATAGATTTGCCTGAGCCCCTCCCTTACATGGGGCCCTTTCCAAGGTCCTCCAGGCAATTTTGAATTTGTAATTTTGTATTCTTTTTCTTAAAGAGGCCCTCTCCACCCCTTACTCCTACCCACAACCTCATTCCCAGGGTATAAGCTTCAGACCCCATAAAGCCTGTCTACTTTTCTGGGTAGCACTGTTATTTTGTTTTCACACATGTGGAAACCGAGGCTCAGGGAAGTAAACAATAGCTTGCTTAAGGCCACAACAACTCCTTCGCAGAGCCCAAACTCTGCCCTTGTCATATCTTTCTATCTCTGAAGCCTGTAGCTTTGACCACTACACTGACCCCCAGGTTTGAATACTGGCCCCACCCTTCAAGTTTCTTACCCTGAATCAACGGAAACACTGCGGTTTGAGAAAAATCCTCTATTCACTTGTCTGGCACCATTACGTGGCAGTATTTCTGGCCTGAGGAGGCAAGATGCATCCTCTGGCCTGTTTATTCACAGCGTTGAGAGTCCATAATGCAATTCTAATCTCAGATCTCATCCAACTGACAGGTCTTTGTTCTGGCTGAGGCAACAAGATTGGTCAATAAGATTGTCAAGGATCTTGAGATGTTTAGGTATAAGGCTAGTTCTTGTTTCCTCTCCAGTTGTGAGAAGACCCCAAGTTAATCTTCAAACCTTTGGGAAAGGGTTTGCTGGAATATCAGAATTTTGCTGGGGTCCTTTCCAGATATCAGGTAAACGAATACTTGCAGGGCACTGCCTGCAGACTTCCAACTTGTACCACCTGTCCGCAGGCAGGAGGGCATCCTCCAGGGTGGGAGCCTCCAGATAAGCCCTTCTAACACTGGCCCAAGCATCTGCGGCTCTGGGTTCCACCACGGCTCTACTGTGAAGCTGATGTGACCCTAGGAAAGGTATTGCTCCTCTTTCCCCCTTGCTGGGACACAGGCACTAGGTTATAGAAGACTTTTGAAGAACTGAAGCCCCCAGGGACTGCGCTTTTCATTCTCAATGGATGCTGAGATACAGGCCTAGCTTCCCTTGGGGCACAAGCAACTTATGTAAGGACTGCCTAAACTGCTTGACATCTGCACAGACAGTGGAACAAATGGGATTTTAATCATGATAATCTTTTATCATCCTTTAGAATAACTAGGGAGCCTTGTCTTTTTTTTTTTTTTTCTTTAACGGCAGTTTGGAAAGTTGGTGTGTTATCAGAACCATCTGGGAAGATAATAAAGCACAGAGAGACCCAGACTCACTGAAGTAGGAAGAATTTGGGCCTTTTTGTTTTTACTACGTTCCCTAGGTGGTTCTGATACTGGCCAGAGTTTGAGTTCTAATATTCTGGGGAGTAGGAGGACTTGCCCACTCTTTAATAGATATCCGAGGCAGAGATCTGGGGAATGCTTTGCCTGAGGTGGTATAATCTATAGAGATGAACACAAGTACTCTTTTGGGCTGGAAGTTAGGGACTTCAGAAACAACAATGCAACCAATACATGAGTGAAATTTATTACCTTATCCTTGTTCCCTCAGGCACCTTTTCATTGCCTGTGGCTGTTTACTGTGGTTCTCCCATTGCCTAGGTAATAATTCTAATACTAACTCACTTGTGCCTAGCTTTAGACTAAGTGTGTTACATAAGGTAGGCACTATTAATTATCCTCACTTTATAGATGAGGAAACCCAGGCTCAGAAAGTTTACTTCACTCGCCTAAGGTGACCCAGTTAGTATTAGAGGCAGAGCTCTAATTTGAATTCAAGCCTCTGAAGCTGTAGTTTAGTTATCCTGTTCCCCTACTATGCCTAATGCATAGTAGAAACTCCAAAATTAAAAAACAAAAACAAAAAACACTCCCATGTACATAGCTTATGTGGTTCAAGACTTTGGGGTTTCATGCATCAATCAAATTTCCAAATGAATTTTAGAGACTGGCATTTGAAAACAAAAGATGTTGTCTGTCATTCTGGTAAACAAAGAGTAGTGCCTGTCATTCCCTTTCTACAACCTCAAGCCGATCAAGTCAGTTGCCGACTGATACTGACAGTGCGCCCTGAGGGGAATTCTGTGCTTTGGATACTGGCCCTAGGTAGTTAAGATGCTTATCTAAGGAATAACTTCAATGAACCCAAATTCTTGTACCTTCCCATACAAATAAAAGCACTACAACTTTTAACTTGAGATATGTGTTCCTTGTGATTAGTAGTGGTCTTTTGATGTTTGTTTGTATTTTTTCCCAGCAAAAAACTCATATATCCTGGTTCCACCCTTACCTCTTCGGAGCACTTCCTCAGAGGTATCTGAGGCTGTCTCCTGGGCTATAGTCCTCAGTAAGTTCCCCAAATAAAACTTAACTCACAAGTTTTATGTTGCGCAATTTTCTTTCAGTTGACAATTCAGGTGACTATGAAGGGATCCAGAGCAGACTTTTCTCCTTTGTCTGAGCTCAATGAGGATCCAGAATCTTGATACTAACAGCAGCCCCTTGTGCCTGTCTGCTCCTTGGTGAGTCCAGACGAAATTTAGGTGAGCCTCTCTTTGGTATTGGATTTCACTTTATTGGCTGATGACCCTAACTTTTATTTGGTGGTGGATAAACTCTTTGTTTTTATTTGGTGGTAGATTAACTCTTTCAAGGTTTTTCTTGAAATTAGTTTCAAGAAGTGGTACCTGGGTTATCCAGTTAAAAAAAAACTCTAAGTAAGTTCGTATTGGGTGATTAGGTAGGAGACTGGCCTGTTGTTTCCCTTAAATTGGCTACTTTAATAGAATTTGTCAGAATTAAAGTGAAAATAAAGCATGAGAGTTTTCAGCTCCAAAGAGGAAAAGGGACATCTCCTCCTGGCCAGCAACTGCTTTCTCAGGCAACTGAGAAACTTGCAGGAGTGGTGGAGGCAAGTTCTCATTCCCTGTAGCAGCCCCACAGAGAAACCCACTCATTTTATTAAGAAAACTTGCTTGTTCAGGGACCACACATAAAAGCTGGCCACTCAGTGATGTGAGCACCTATGACGATTTTAAACTGCCAGAGGGAGAAATCAAGACATATAATACAGCTGAAACAATTCTTGGATGACATGTAGATGAATTAAGCTCACAAACAGCACAGTGACCCATCACACAATCACTACTAGCAGTTTTATCTTGACAAACCAACCAGAATGGGAAACAAAGCTTTCAAAATTAAAGAAAGAGGAGTAATAGGTTACCAGCCTTCAACTAACACCCCAGCCAGGTTCATGTACATTACTTATAGAATTTACACTTGCAAATACTTACTTATTTTGGAAAATTACACTAAGGGAGATCTCAACCTAAAATGGTCAACTTGGGGTTTTTTTAGACATTCCAAAATTAATTTTTGTGTGTGTCCACAGCTAGAGAAAGCTGGCCATAAGATCAAACAGACTGAATAGAATGCTTATTTTGATTGGTATTTAGAAACTTCTAAAAGAGGAAATGATAAAGTAACTTCTTTGCAGGAAATCAACCCAAAAATTGCTTGAAACAATATCAGAGTTTATAAAAAAGCTGCTAGTGTTAACCTTGCCTCTCCCTCTGCTACTCCCTCATAACTGCCTGACCCAGATGCTCTCTCTTCTGTCACCTTCACCTTCTGCTGTTTCCCTCAGCCCCTGCCAGTAAAGGAGGAACTTGCACTTCTCTCCTTGTGCCTCTAAGATGTAAATGTTCTAACGGATCTTCTTAGCATTTTGTTCTGTGTTTTGAGAGTCTGTCCTCTGCCATCCAGAAGGTACATTCAAAAAGACTAGGATTCCGAACAGTCTTTTTATCTGGCTGTGCCAACTCTCAAGGAATTTTATCTTAAGGGGTCCCAGTGGATAAGAGGTCTTTGTCATCTCAACATTTGTTGCATCACCTGTACACTGAAGGCCTTTACTTTCTTAGACTTTTTTGGGAGAAACTTTCTAGATCTTGTAAAGGCTGCATCTTTTGTACTCTCTTTTGTGAATGCATCTTGTATCTTGAATGGTTTGAGTTGCTATTAAAATACTATTCGCCAACAGCTAGACAAATGGGTCCTTTAAGTTGGAGAAACTTCTAAATTAGTGATTTTTTAAGAGAACTCTCTTACAAATAGCTGTTTTTTATTGGTAGCTATTAAAAGACCAAATTAGAAGGTGTATACAAAAAATATAACAGTTAACCGTTATACTTTGGTAACCATAAGTTTGCTTTCTATGTATGTGAGTCTGTTTCTGTTTTATAAATAAGTTCATTTGTGTCATTTTAAAAATTCCACACACAAGTGATATCATATAATATTTGTTTTCCTCTTTCTGATTTACTTTACTTAGATAATCTCTAGGTCCATCCATATTGTGGAAAATGGCATTATTCCATTCTCTTTTATGGCTGAGCAGTATATATGCCACAACTTCTTTATCCAATCATCTGTTGACGGACATTAGGTTGATTCCATGTCTTGGCTATTGTAAATTGTGCTGCTATGAACACGGGGGTGAATGTATCTTTTCAAATTAGTCTTCTCCAGATCTTGATATGCCAAGAAGCAGAATTGCTGGATCATATGGTAAGTCTGTTTTGAGTTTTTTAAAGAATCTCCATACTGTTTTCCACAATGGCTGCACCAAACTACATTCCCACCAACAGTGTAGGAGGGATCCCTTTTCTCCACACCCTCTCCAGCATTTATCTTTTGTGGACTTTTTAATGATGGCCATTCTGACTGGTGTGAGGGGATACCTCATTGTAGTTTTGATTTGTATTTCTCCGATAATTAGTGATATTGAGCATCTTTTCATGTGCCTATTGGCCATCTATATGTTTTCATTGGAGAGATATCTGCTTAGGTCATCTGCCCATTTTTCGATAGGGCTGTTTGGTTTTTCCTTATTGAGTTCTATGAGCTGTTTGTACATTTTGGAACTTAAGCCCTTATCAGTCACATCACTTATCATTTGCAAATATTTTCCCCTGGTGTGTACACTGTTTTTCATTTTGTTTATGGTTTCCTTTGCTGTGCAAAAATATAAGTTTAATTAGGTCCCATTTGCTTATTTGCTTTTATTTCTGTTGCCTTGGGAGACTGACCTAGGAAAACATTCTTAAAATTTTTGTCAGAGAATGTTCTATGTTCTCTTCAAGGAGATTTATGGTGTCCTTTCTTATGTTTAAGTCTATAAGCCATTTTGAGTTTATTTTTGGGTATGGTATGAGGGAGTGTTCTAACTTCACTAATTCATACACGGCTGTCCAGCTTTCCAAACACCACTTGTCAAAGAAACTGTATATTTTCTCCATTGTATATTCTTGCTTCCTTCTCAAAGATTAATTGACCATAGGTGTCTGGGTTTATTTCTGGACTCTCTGTTCTCTTCCAATGATCTATATGTCTGTTTTTGTGCCAGTACCATGCTGTTTGGATTACTGTAACTTTGTAGTATATTCTGAAGTCTGGGAAGGTTATGCCTCCAGCTTCACTCTTTTTCTTCAGTATTTCTTTGGCAATTTGGGGTCTTTTGTGATTCTATATAAATTTTAGAATTATTTGTTCTAGTTCTGTGAAAAATGTCTTGGTTAATTTGATAGGAATCACATTAAATCTGTAGATTGCTTTGGGTAGTATGACCATTTTAACAATATTAATTCTTTCAATCCAAGAGTGTGGGGTATGTTTCCATTTCTTTAAATCACCTTTAATTTCCTTTATCAATGTTTTATAGTTCTCAGTATATACATCTTTTACCCCCTTAGTCAGGTTTATTCCTAAGTATTTTCTCTTTTTGATGTGATTTTAAAAGGGAGTTTTTTTTTTTAACTTTCCTTTTCTGATATTTCATTGTTAGCGTAAAGAAATGCAATGGATTTCTCTATGTTAGTCTTGTATCCTGCTACCTTCCTGAATTCATTTATCAGCTGTAGTAGTTTCTGTGTGGAGTCTTTAGGGTTTTCTATATATAGTATCATGTCATCTGCATATAGTGACAATTTTACCTCTTCCCTTCCAATGTAGATGCCTTTTATTTCTTTTTCTTGTCTGATTGCTATGCTAGGACTTTCAAAACTATATTGAATAGAAGCTGTGAGAGTGGGCATCCTTGTCTTGTACTAAATTTTAGTGGGAAGGCTTTCAATTTTTCAGCGTTGAGTATTGTGCTGGCTGTAGGTTTGTCACAAATAGCTTTTATTATGCTGAGATATGTTTCCTCTATACCCACTTTGGTGAGAGTTTTTATTATGAATGAATGTTGAATTTTATCAAATGCTTTTTCCGCATCTATTGAAATGATCATGTGGTTTTTGCCCTTTTTTTTGTTGTTGATGTGGTGTATCACATTGATTGATCTGCGTATGTTGAACCATTCTTGATTCTGGGATTAATCTGAATTGATCATAGTCTATGATCTTTATTATGTGTTGTTGGATTTGGTTTGCTAATATTTTGTTGAGAGTTTTTGCTTCTATATTCATCTGAGATTTTGGCCTGTAATTTTCTTTTTGGGTAGTGTCTTTGTCTGGTTTTGGTATCAGGGTGATGGTGGCTTCATAGAATGGGTTTGGAAATGTTCCTCCCTATTCAATTTTCTGGAAGAGTTTGAAGAGGATAAGTATAAGTTCTTCTTTGTATGTTTGGCAGAATCCCCAGTGAAGCTATTCTGTCCTGGACTTTTGTTTGCAAGGATTTTTTTTGTCTTTTCCATTTCAGATTCTCTTTCACTTCTAGTGATTGGTCTGTTCAAATTATCTACTTCTTTTTGATTCAATTTTGGTAGACTGTATGTTTCTAGAAACTTGTCTATTTCTTCTAAGTTGTCCAATTTGTTGACATATAATTGTTCATAGTATTCTTTTCTTTTTTCTTGGTATCAGTTGTACTTTCTCCTTTTTCATTTCTTACTTTGTTTATTTGTGTTCTCTCTTTTCTTCCTAGTGAGCCTGGCCAGAGGTTTGACAATTTTGTTTACTCTTTCAGAAAACCAGCTGTTGGTTTTATTGATTCTTTCATTTCTGTTTTATTTATTTCCTTCCTGATCTTTATTATTTCCTTCCTTCTACTGACTTTAGGTTTTGTTTGTTCTTCTTTTTCTAATTCTTTTAGGTGGTAGGTTAGATTGTTTATTTGAGGTATCTCTTGTTTTCTGAGGAAGGCCTGTATCACTATGAACTTCCCTCTTAAGACTGCTTTTTTCCCTTAAATTAAGAACTCTTTTAATTTAAAACAAACAAACAAACAAATCTGATTTGGGAAGTCTTATTTGTAGTCTTGGTTTCCCCTCAAAGGGTCTTACAGATGCTAATAAAAACATTAGATTAATTAATGTTAATTAGGTTGATTAACAGGGGACTAAGAAGAAGCTGAGGGGAAAGTCAAGAGACTTCTTCCCAAAAAGGTGAAACTTTTAAGACTACTCTTCCCAACAGTATGGAAGGCTTTAGATGGTTATTAAGAAATAGAATAAGTAAAGTGGATATTGATGGCGTTAAAACAAAGGTTTTGATACAACATCACCCAAAGCTGGATGGGCCAAAGGGACTCCCTATTGGTCACGCCAACGTTAAAAGGATGAAAGAAGTCTACTCTATTTACCTCTAATTAAAAAAAAAAAATGTATAAGGCTGGAAGAAAATTACACAGAGATACTTGATAAGCAATTGCTTGGGGGCAACAGTTAGACTAATTAATCAGGTTAAAGACTGACAAAAGGGCCTGAGCCTCTTGGCTCAATCCTTCCCCAGGAACCCCAAAGCCTTTTATACAAAAATGGATAAAATGGCTGGGGGATAAAAGGGAAAGTTTCTGGGATTCCAAGCCAAGATTTGTTGATTGGGTCCTAAGGGAAGCTAAAGTTAAAGGTATGAGTTGATACAATTGAGATAAAAGTCTATAAAAATCGGTGTATTTGAATAGGCTTATATAAGATGGTTACATCTCTTTGCTTAATTATTTTACAGAATAGACATTATGTCTCACTGGGGAATACTTTCCCTGCCTG